GGGTCGCCATCTTTCCATGGCGCTGGCTTGGCCGAAGGCGGGTGATAGCCAAAGGGTGCAACGAGCGCTCGGTGTTTATTCAATACGGGTGCTAAGTCTACAGAAAGTACACACAGGACACTTTGTCTTAGGTTTAGCGTTATTTCTTCGCTAATACTCCAAAATAACATCGGTGAGCAGCAGTTCATTGGTTGCATTTTAGTCAGAAGCCACGAGCCGAAGGCTGCCCACTGCAGCTGGCGGTCGGAAAGTAAATCTTTTACCCACGAGCAAAGTGACTTTCCATTGCGGTTGTCGTTCAGTCGTTGACAGGTTGTTTCGGTTGATCAATAGTGACTGGCTTCTCTTCCTTCTTGCATTTAATCCCGAAGAAACTGAAAACTTTCATTAGCATTAGATCAACAATCTCCTCTTCTTCCGAAGCCTAAAATAACAACGAGAAGTAAGTTACTGGGATGCATGGACCAGAAGCTGTACAGCCTCTGCTGAAGCAGGGAAAGTTGCAAGAGGAAATCACTGCTGGAGGTGAAGTAAGCCAGCTTTCATTCTCAGCAAATCATGTGTGACTGCCAAAACAAAACATCATGCACGTATTTTTGTCAAGACAACTGTCCTGGATGAGCATGGGCAAGCATGGATGTTACAGATGAAATTTTGGCTCTGTCAAATCCATAGAAATCTTGCTACAGGATCGCAGAGTTCACTTGCCAGCTACTGTACAGCTAGTGGTATATACAACAAGCTATCCACCATTGAAGTAAAAGAGAAAAATAAGTCTAGTTTTCTATTGACCATATCCTTTCTTGTCCTCTCCCTTGGCTTTACACTGTAGAGGGATTTTGGACAGTACTGCAGTACTAAGCTGGATTTCACACCATGCTATCAATAGCTTGAAAGGGTCAGGCATGCATGTTTAAAAGGAGCTGTAAAGTCCTCATGGAGGCAGTAGCAGTTTTGGCACTGATTTCAATGGAGCTGGAGCACAAGTCTAAGACTTTTGCTGGGTTTGGTATGTGAACGGAAGGCTACAAATCAGATCTTGTACTGAATCTGAACAGGGACTTGTCTGAACAGGAATGGACAATGTCTGGAAAATCTGAAGTGTGCTTTATGAGTAAATGTTGACTTCTTAACAGTTGGACTGAGTTTACATAGGTTTCCTCTGATGGTGGAATACCCAAATTGTGAGTAAGCACTGCACAATGAATGTTAAAAATGGCAAGAGAGCTTAAATGAACGCACCTGATAGTGCTTCTGCTCCTCACTAAAAGCAACCAGGATCACCGAAATGAACAGATTCAGTACCACAAAAGTCATGAAAATTATGCAGGATCCAATTAAGAAGGAGCCTAAAATTGGATTGTAGTCCAAGACCTGTTGTATTAATAAGGTAAGACATCATATTTTAATTGTAAAAAAAAACCCAACCCCAAACCCCAACAAAAAACCAGAACAACATTCATACAAGCAGTTAAGACACTATAAGGAGTTTAATCTGAAAATCCTTATGGCTAATAAATCACACTATCTATATTTTATATATATATAAATTTTCTCCCTTAGTCACTTTCCTATGTTGATATGATATAGTACAAAGATGTACTTTTTTTATGTGTGATAGATGAATATGGGCAATCTTTGGGGTTTTTAAGTGTTTGCATTTGATTGTAAGGGTATGAAAGTTTCATGTGAAGGTCGACAAGCCTAGAGATCTGTTTATCCACAGAACAACTGAAGCTCCATCGTACCTCAGCTTTCAAAGTATAGACGAAGCCTCTATATGCTTTTATTCATTAATGTCTTTACAAAGAAGCCCAGTCAGACTGTCACAGACATATCAACTAAGGGTTGTCTAGAAATTCAAAAACTTCATTTTTATGTACACTATAATGTAGGAATATGTTTTCATGATTAACAAGATGAGTTGTAGACATGGAAAACTGCATGCCCAATTACTGATCTGCAAAGCTACCCACACCCTGTTGGGGTGTGGGATCCATGGTCTAAAAGCATCCACCAAGGAGGGCTGCACAGTCAGAGATGTCCGAGAACTAGTGTAATCCACAAAGAGTTGTTCAAAGGATATTATAATATCTGAAAGAACTTAATGAAAAAGTCAAAAATAATAAAAATAAATGTAACATAAAGTTCCCTTGTGGAAAACCTTGCCTTTCTTGAGAATCTGATGGGTGCGTATTCAGAACAAATGCAGGGCATTGCTCACATTTCTGTCTATAGCTTTCTAAGGAAATTGCTCAAAACTTTCTGTAATCAATAAATAGCGTATCTAGTTAAAATGTGAGCACCTTTCTCACTGAAAGGTTCGTTACGAGTCTACTGGTGGTCAAAACGTCATGTGAGATGTACTTCGCTTGGTGTCTTGATGAGGAAAGGTAGCTGCTTTAGGAAGCTGCGGAGCTCGCAAAATTAGATTAATGTCTAGCACTAATTGAAAGTCTTTCCATCTGCTGAGTCAAAACATATTCGGTAGCTGAGATGTTAATTATACAGTGATAAACTTCTCAAAATTAGAGGTAGTACCTCCTCATAGTTGAAGATTCCCAGCTGAAGACTGACCATAGTCTCTGCTGCATCGAAGAGAGTTTTGTAAGAGTAGAGCTTCCAGCCAAAGATCAAGTTTGTCTGCAGAGGAAAGAAGGCATATCTTGTGTCATGATCAGAGTCCCTGCTGCAAAACCAGCTAATCACTGCTGCAATCAGAGAAAGGCCTCGTCAGAGCCATGAAGCCTTTTTTGTATTTGAGGGTTTTTTTGTATACAAACAGGGGAAACACCAGATGAGGTCACAGAAGAAGGCTAACCTAGAGCTAAGAACTGGATTCACACTTTCTGAATGTGTTTAGCTGTAAGACCTTTTATCATGGACGTGAGAATCATAGTCACAAAACTTGCCTTTCAAATCCTTCCAAATAGGCAACCTCCTTGTTTGCCCTCAGTAACCAAGATGCTCTTTTCTTCATTTGTATCTTGTGGGCCTGCAGTGTCTGATTTCAATGGGGACTGCTGCAGTCCCACCTTTTTCTCCATCTCTCTTCCGCTTTCTTTCACAGCTCCGTTACTTGTGTGATGTGACAACAGGCTGGGTCATGGAACTGATCTCATCCCTTATTTTACCTTTCAAGTTTCTGGCCATACCAGTGCCTAAAGCTACTCAGTTGCTAGATTGTCAGTGCTGGGGGAGAGATGAGGAATGTGAAATCAGGCAGTGTGAGACCGCAGCAGGTCCTGTTTGTCACAGGACTGCCCTTTACCAGACAGCTTGGATTTGGCTCAGATGGTTTCCACTTTTACAGTGATTTTGCAATTGAGATGTGCTGAACTTCCTATATCCCTCTGCCAGACGATTTGCACAAAACATTTCAGCTAATACAGTAAATATACATAAATAGTTGCAGTCCAATAATTCTTTAATCTCATTAGAATGAATTTTTTTCATATTTATTTGCATAATAAGTATTCCTATAATAGGCAGAAAAAGAATTATTTCCCTCTTAAAAACTAGCCAAACAGAAAATGGCACTTGCTGCACTCTCCCCAATTTAAGCTTTATCCAGAAAATGTTTTTTCTTCTACTTTGTTCTTTGGCACACCTATTACAAACAGAAAATCCATTTTTCATCTCAGTGTTTGATTTTTGTACTAAATTTCAATTTGCAAAGAACAGACAAGTAGATATTTTCATTTCTCTTTCACTTACACTGAAGAATTGAGCTCCAAGCTGCTAAACTAAGGTTTTGATAGGCAGCTTTATTCAGTTTTACATTTCAAAGCTATGTTGCTCTCAGTGTTCAGAAATAATTCATTTTATGTGACAGTACCTGGATGCAGGCTGCAGACAACAGAAAGCAGGGTGGTACTCACAGCAGTGGAATAGGCGAGGAACATGATTGCAATAACAGTGATGAATCCAGAGATATCACCCCATGCTCTCCTTAGAGTTGAAGTGATCATGTTTAGTTTAGGGTTGAGCCTCAGGAGATGCCACAGTTTCACAGTGGAGAGAAGCACTAGGAATGCAATCAGGTAGCCAAGAACTGCATCAGCTCTTGCTGTTTCATTCAAGCTTACACAGCTGTTAGAAAAAAAGAAAAGCTGTCATTGACCGTGCACACAGAAGCCTTTGAAGCACATAAATGAGTGCGCTGGAAAGCCAGTCACTCTGTCCTTGTTTCCAGTGGACAGCTAACTTGAGTTCTTGCTTGACTGTTCCCATCTGTACTTCCTGCTGTGTGCACACAAAAGGCTCAGTTGTACATGGCAGAGGATTTTGTAACAGCATTAGGCTAGAGCTGAGGGAGGGTCTAGGCTGTAGTCCAAATCCTGCTCGTTTTTAGCAAGTCACAAGTTTAAAGGCAGCCAATGCAAACTTACTATCAGATTCTGACCCTTAGAAAGGAAGTCAGGTTCTCCTGTGCATGTGTGGCTAAAGAGGATGGGGTTACTGGTGCTGTGCAGGTAGCAGGATGCACTGGCTGTGACAGGATTAACTAATTGCCAACAAGTTGTGCGAGCAGGTGCTGTGAGGAACGAAGTAAAAGAGGTCAGAACTGTGATCTGTGACTGAGGCGAGTGTCAAGTTTTAACGTTAGCTGAAAAAAAAAAAAGCTTGGTGATACTTATATTTACCCTTTATAAAGGTAGCACATTGTTTGTACTTATGATTTTGTTTACAACAGAGGTGACCCCAAAAGGTTTTATAGATTGTCTATGCTAATAGAGCACATGACGTGTACCTATACGGTATATGCATGCTTCATTATCAAGAATACAGCTGTCAGGTTAAAGGAGTGCTTGTTCTTTCCTCTCATTCAGCACTTGCGAGGCTGCATCTGGAATACTGAGTCCAGTTTTGGGCTCCCCGATGCAAGGAAGACATTGAGTCCAGTGGAGGGCCACTGAGATGGTTGGGAGTCAGGGTAGAGGACGTATGAGACAAGGATGTGGGAGATGGGTTTGTTCAGCCTGGAGAAAAGAAAGCTAAGGGGGCCTCTAATTGCTGTCTCCAACTGCCTGGTTGGTGGTTATGGAGAGGATGCAGTAAGACACTTCCTGGAGGTGCACAATGAAAGGACAAGAGACAACAGCCACAATTTGCTGCAAGAGGAATTCCAGCTGAATGTGAGAAACGGTCCTCTTTTTCTCCCACAGTGAGAGTGGTTCAGCACTGGAACAGGGCTCCAGGGAGGCTGTGGAACCTCTGTCCTCGGAGATACTCAATATTCAACCAAACAAGGCCTGGAGCAACCTGCTCTAACACCAAAGCAGGGGGTTGGAGCAGAGACCTCCTTTCCTTCCTAAATCATCCTGTGATTCTATGACCTCTTTCCTGTATGACTGGTTTTTAACAGATGTTACCATTTTCCATTCTATATAAAATAAGCCATTATTGCCTCTAACCAATGGCTTTTTACTACAAAGAGTTAGGCACAGTAAGTACTGTCTGGACAGACGTCCTGTAGCAGAAAGGCTTGTTGATTCAGAAGAGGGTGATGCAGATAGGGAACCAGCAGCTAGGCCAGGGACCTTGGTGCTCGAGTCTGCTGGATTTTAGAGCGATGTCAGAAGGAAATCCTGTTGCTGACATACATCTAAGCCTTGAAATACTTACATGCTTCATGAATATAGCTATATAGAGTGGCATTATCTAGCACAGACAAGCTGCTGTCTGGGAAGAGGAAAAATAGATTTGTTTCTGCATGTAGCACTGACAAAGGCTACACTAACTACATTAGTACTTACTCATCTTTGTGTTCCTGGTAGTAGCTGATGTCCCGGGTCCCGAGGATTGTCCGCTTCACAAACACTGACAGAGCACTCCAGCTAATCAATATAATGGCCATCTCCAGGAGATTCCACTTGCTGTGGAAGTATCTCAATCTCAGAGTCTTCATCAGTTTTCCCTGTGAAAAGAGGAGTTTTACTGTTTCAGTCTTGTGACTCCGTATCATACAATGCACCTCTAAAGATCAGAGCTATCCCCTCTGCAGCAAAGCATATAAAACATCGATAAAACTACATCTTGCACTAATTTCACATTATCTTTCTCAAAAGAAGCGTTTCAGCCAAATAAAGCATTGCCCTCCTATGATTTAATACTGATGCAGTATCTGGTTCAATCTTCCACTGGTGCAAGTCAGCAGCAGCGCTACCGAAATCAAGTACAGTCCTACAGTTTTCGTAAGAGAAATCAAAATCCGACACAAGGTGATGCTGTCAGCTGAGCTCTCCATTGGGTCTCACCTGTACTATCATGTAGTACACAATAAAGAGGAAATAAATTCCTTCTGCTGCAACCACAAAGATGTGGAGACTGTTGGTGTACGGATAAAGCCGGATACTTTGCAGCTCTGCGCTTGTGAAGAAGGCCCCTAAAAAACAAACAATGGTCACCTCAGTGCTCTATCACATCTTTAGATTTTCATTCAAACAATTTAGTTCACCAGTAAGACCTCCTTATTTGCTTTCACATCAATGTGAGACTGAAACCAGCTATCACAGAATCATAGAATGGTTTGGGTTGGAAGGGACCTTAAAGATCATCCAGTTCCAGCCCCCATCAATCAAACTGAGGTTTAGACTTGATTATGTGAGTAGTCTTACAAGTGCTCTTTGAAATTTTCCTCAAATAGGTGTTTCAGGCACTCGATGGCTTTTAGAATGCTAGTGCTCTCTTGTATGGTAGTATGTACTTTTTGTCTTAATATTGTTTTGATTAGCTGAAAGGATTAAGAAACATCATTTCTCTTGTTCATGTTGTGTAAATTTTGGAGATTAAGTTTCAGTACCATGTTTTCTTCATCAGCAGATGACCACAGCATAAGCAAACATAAAATATTCCATTATGGTCTGTGTTACTGTGATGCTACGTTTCGCCTAAATGGTTGATAAATTTTTTGTTGATTCTGTCATTATTAGATTATTAAAACACTTCTGTTTACTAAGTCAAAAACTAGGTAAACATTGACAGCATGTGCATCTACACTCTGTAGGTGCATTGGTTGCTGTCTCCAGAAATGTGTAACTCAAAAAATGTTCTCACCTAAAGCGTTGGTTTCAAACATCAAGCTTATAAGGCAGAACAGGTTCACATTGGCATTGTAGACTGTGAATTCCACAAACACTGCTCTTGTGAAGGTGTCTAGCCAGACGTTGTTGAAAAGGTACTGGAGAATTCTGCCAAAAAATATATAGCCAGTGATCTAACTCATGCAGGAGAGAGACAGTATCATATGGAGTGTTTGGATGTTATCATAGAGAAAGAGTAAACCAGAGGTAAGATGTTCAAGAGGACAGCTGGTCTGTCAAGTCTGGAGATGGAGATATTTGTACTATTAATGTAGATGGTAGGTTTCTTTTTGGCTCCTCTGGAGAAGCAGGTACCAGGTATTGGTCAGTGCTAAACCTGAGACGCCTCAGGTATCTGATAATTTACCTCAGATAGGTTCCTGTACAAATAAGGATATCTCTGGCAACATGGAAGTTATCTGTAAGTTTGGATCTTCACCCCTGTGAGATACTGCTTCCTGCTTATTTATCTCAGGTCCCTTATCTGCCAAATTCTTTTTGAGTCCTGGGTTTCAAGGCCTCGTTTTCTATTATTTCACTGTAAAAAGTGTTCCCTGTTACTATTTATGTTCACGCACAGGAGATGATTACTTTCAGTACAATTGGAGATGATTACTTTCAGTACAATTTCACTAATTCTCTTTTAAGGTAGATACTAAATTGTCTGCAAGGATCTAGGGAGCATAAACACTAAAGAGAGACAAGGAAGCTTCACAGATCTTGCTATGATATAAAACCAGGCGAACATATGATGATATGCATAATAGTAGTTCAAGCATAGTAACAAGATAATGTAAGATGAACATAAGATTTAGGCTAAATGATTTTCTCACAACCATTGACATCTTCTTAGAAAATTCAGTATTTGGAAGTTAAAGGCTAGACTATATCCAACACTGGATTAACACTGATAGGATTGTTTTACTAGTTTTTCAACATTATGTATTTCTGCAGCTATGTAAATCAGTATCTATGCATGTAAGTTAGGAGAAAAAGGTTCTAATTTTGGATCCTGATTGTTACCTGACATGGAGCAAGATGATAGGAACATAAACTACAATGGTGGCAGCACAGTAATATCTACAATATCCAGCTTAATGTACAGCAGGAAAACTCAGGATGCAATCTGAAAGAAATCTTAAATAGGGTAGAGGAAAGAACATCATTGACGTTACAGCAGATACACTAATAATTTACAAGAGTACAAGTGGTACCTGGAGGCATTCTTAGGATCAGTTCCCAGCTGAATCACGTATCCCCCTCCCCTGTAGATGGCAAGTTTGCCCCAGGTGGGTTGCCCTTTCAGTTTGGACTGACTCTGATACTGCCATGCTGAGCTCAAGTCAGAGGAGTTATCGAAGACCGAAGTGTTCCAGTGTTCCCCATAATCTGATGTATCTTCTGTTTGTAGGGAATATGGAGCATGGCATTCCTGAATCACACGCTGGAGTTTGGGAGAAATAGGGCAGGTGTCTCCTTTCACTCTTACTTGGCGAATTCGAGCACTACCCACCAGCTTGGAATTGCCATCTGTGATGAATCCTAAACAGGAGATGGAAAAGAGCAGCACTGGCAATATTACAGAACTACTGATATTTCTTCATCTCATTTATGATTCACTGATGCATTACTATTTCGCTATAGATTCTTTTACAAAAAACACTCTAAGCAAAATAGTAATGATTTGAACTGAGTTCTCATTTTGATTTGAACTGAGTTCTTAGATAACATCCATAGAGAACAGAGCTCAGTATCATTACCTGCCAGTATTTGATACAGAAGGAAACTGAGGCCTGGGGGAGCAAAGTCACTTGCTTCTAGTCAGACAGCAGAGTAGCTGTATGCAGCGTTCACTGGCCACGTTGGTCAGAGCTTGTCATGTCCAATGAACAACTCTGCTAATGCAATTCAATATTTACTCTTCAATGTGAACTGGAAATAGGGTCATATTTATTATTGGATGTGGCTACACAGAAACATGGTGATACTGCATAATTAGCCTTCACATTGACCTAAGTCCTGATGCAAACAGCTCTCTTGAAGAAAAGTTTTATAGTGCCACCTATCTGCCAGTTTTTTTTTTTTTTTTTTTTTTTGAGTTATGGAAAGAAACTCATGTAAAACTGAGGCATATATCTGAATATTTGGAAAAAGTAATGTAAAATGTGAAAAATGTAAAATCACAGCGCAGCACTTTTGGTTCCTATTAAAGAGAAGGAAAGTATCAGGGCACGGTAAACTTGGGGTCAGGCTGTGAGGTTTTTGTTATCCACTAGTATTCATGTTATAAGAATCCACACCAGTCTTAGGGACTCACAGTCTCATTCTCTGGTCAAATATGCATGTGCAAGTTAGGGTGATGTATAAAAGATACAAGAACCTGGCAAGCTGAAGTGAAACAATGTGACTCTGCACCTTTATATGATCCATAAAGATTTTTGACTAAGGTAGTGTTTGCCCACGTGAAAAAATCCTGGTAACTGTAGACATCGTGGAATCCATCTGTAAAGCTGTTCTCAATGTGTTTGTTTAAGTAGTAGGAGTTGGGATCTCTCTGCCCATAGGCAACCAGTAACAGCATCCATAAAAACCCCAGATAGGCTGGAAAAAAACAAGAAGAGACAGCACACGTGAGCCCAGAACAAAATAGATTACGTGAATGATGACTGCTGTCATCTCTTATCAGGTTAAGGAGATGCTCTGCTAGGCCTCGACTGACCAGCGCTAATGAATTTACACAACCTGCTGCAATGTGCTGCAGTTTAAGCGTCTTGCGTTCGGAATGCAAGTAGGAGTTGAGAAAATAAGTGGGAAGGCTGGCTGAACACCAATGGTAGTGACAGCTCTAAATCAAACGAGTAGTCTAACTTTGTTCCAAGTGAATGTAAGGTAATTTTTCCATTGTTTTTGGAGGAAATAAAACTGGGGTATAAATCATTTTTTATAGATACTATCTGCTTTTAGAAAGATGGCCTTCAAAGATGGCCTCCATCTGCTCTTTTAATTTCGACTTCGTTTAACTGTTGACCTCCTCCTTTTACCCTTTCTAACTTTTCTTTAACCTTTCATGTGGCTGTAATGTGTTTTTTTACCGTAACATCAAGCCTCCAGCCACAGCTAACCCCCACCTCCTCCCAGCTCCAGCTGCCGCTGAGCAGGCTGTCTCTACACCATAATGGCTGGCAGAAAGCTCAAGATATGCCAAAACTTCTTCACCCAAGAGAACGATGTTTTCACTGGTGTAAATATACTGATGAATACTATATATGGATAATACCCAGGATTTCTGTGATGAGAGCAAATGCTTTCTGCTCCTTCATGCAGCTTATTTTCATTTTCTCCACGTCAACTGCAGGAGGTGGCCGGTAAATATCGCTTCTACTGTCCCTTCGGGCTCCAAAGAGAGGATTTGAATCACCTGTGAGTGAGAGCAGTAAAGCCTGGCATCAGTCAACAGGTCATCTGTGTCCTGCTTTTTGTTTCTTTGGGTATTATAAGGAAACATTTCAATGTAAAGCTTTCCTTTAGGAAGACAGACGATGTGACATTAACGATCGGTATAGTAAGTCAACAGTGGGGAGGAAAGGATCTCACAAACACTGGCTGTTAGGTTTCAGCCCAGGTGTAGTCCAGGTGTCTCTCTCTAGGCTAAGCATCTCAAAACGTGATGCATTCAGAGCCTGGGACTGATCAGGGAGGAAGCTGTTGATCAGGATTCCTTGCTGTGCCCTAGGTTCCTGTCTATTGCTTTCTTTAGACATGATAGTGAGTGCAGAAACCACTGTTTGGTTTATGGGAGTGATATAGATAATTGTGGATGTGGAAAACTATCTGTACTGAGGACTTTCAGTTTAAATAAGCTCCTTGAGAGAGAGCTTGAGTTTTAGATGTGGTTGTCAGATAAAGATCTACCAATCTAGGTGAAGCGTGCATTTTGCACTGGGTCATGCGTTTGTTTTCATTAGGTTGTGGGATAGTTACAGGTTTTGTCTGCAAGCCGTGCCACGAATATTGAAATGTCTGCACAGAGCTAAAACAAGCCTTCTTGTATATCTAATTTTTCTTATGTCTGTCATGAGAGCTGAAATACTTAAGCATAAGTAAGTATACTTAAGTGCATACTGATAGCACTGATTCATTATTTTTTCTTATAATGGCTTCAGTCAGATTGCCACATTTTATTATTTTCTTTTCTAGATGTTCCTTGAATGTTGACGAACTGAAAAGTGATCAGCTATCCACTTGTACAATTCTTGATCTAGTATGAATCGATATAGGATAATCTTTTTTCCTGACATAGGCAAGCCAAGGATGGAGGGAAGGAAGGAATCAAATATCAGTATCCTGGCACCAGGCAGATCCTCCAATAACCGGGACAATCTTACAACAGGGCTAGGGGAGACTGTGGATGTATATATATTTGCAGAGGTAAAAACATATGGAAAAAGATAAACAAGGAAGTATTACTGTTTTGATCCAGAACTTCTCTTTTATCTTTTTGATTGTGTGGTCTCTTTCATTAAGTGTTCAGCAAGATTTATCCAACCTAAACATACACTGGTCTTTATATTTTCTCCAACTGGCACAAAATCAGTTATTTAGTTTTGTTTCCACTTCCATCTTGATCTTGGGAATAGTCACTGTACCTGTGGGTTTAGTGATTCCTGCTAACCTTGTCAGCTAAGATTCAGGTATATAAAGATAACTAGTGAAGTTCCCAGTTGAGCCGCGTCACATATTTGTGCATGAAGCACTCCAAAAGCTTGGAGCACACTTTACTTACTTTAATAATTTCATTTTACAGACAATTACCTGGTGCAGATAAATGACTGTGCCCATCAATAACTGTGTTTTCTTCATCCTCATGTTCCACCTTCTTCAGAACCAGAGCAAAAAAAGCAGCAAATCCCAGCACCTGGAAAGAATTAGCTATAGGGTCACCATATGCCCATTTCATATAAAGAAGCTCAGCCTTTGACCTAGATCCCTTTGGATCCAGGCACTGCAAGAGAAAATGGTGCTTTGGCTTTGTTGAACTCCTGCAGCTGAAGCTCATAAACAACAGAACAGTGCACAGTGCTGAGTTCCATACAGCTAAATTGATTTTGCCATATGACACATCTTCCCTGGTCAGAAACCTCATCACCTATTAAACTTTGACAAAACAAGGGAGATTAATGGAGTCAATGTCAACAAAAGACAATAGAATTCCATAAACCACCTGCTAGCTCTTGTTTTAAGGGCAAATCCTGTGGTTCTTTAGAACACTTTACATTGCCTTCCTGAAATGATAGTAGAATGAGTTCATATTGGCCAGTGGTTCTATTACTGAGGATCTCACCTTTAAGGGCTGTGTGATGAAAAGACTTTCCAAGAAGGAGATGGCCATGGAGATCAGCCACTTGATGGAGTTCTCCTTGCCGTAATGTAGCCCATAGAGCATGGTAAAGAACCCCGACACCCCACTGGTGGCTGCAACAAGGAACCAAGCAATGAACACAAACCACCAAGGCAGCCCTTTGGAGGAAGAACTTTTCTTGCCATCACCAGAGAAGCTTGGAGTAAGGGACCACCTTGAGAGTCAACCAGAAGAGAAAAAAAAAAACAAACAGTCTGCAGTGGAACAGAAGCCAAAATACAGTCTTTGGGTTCAGCTGGGATAGGCAACATTTTAATATTTAAAATCTCAATCAAAATATTCTGAATTCTTTTAACTAATGCAGCTGTATAGGATCTGATGAAGTGTGCAGAGATCAGCTAAAATCAAAGCAAATATGATGGGCTTATTTACTTCCCGGTCACGCATAGTGCAACCTCCAGTAGAAATATTGACAAATAAAACCATGAGTGGATTTTAGCTGCTGGATACACCTCTTGTGATCACCATAAAGGCCAGAGAGATAATTAGTGGTATTGTTTTCAATACTTCCAACTTAATTATCATATTTCACTGAAATATTTTTGTCTGCATATTAATTTTCCTTATCCATCCGTTTTAAGAGACATCTGAGATTTTGGAGCTCAGTGATTATCTCAGCCCTTTACTATCATGTGGCCTTGTATTGTGACATTCAGTTTTGGAGGCAAAAATGACAGAGTGATGAACTGTCGTTATTCCTTTTGTGTGCAGTTTGCAGTACACTGAAATTTCTTTATTGCTCCTGTAATATTATAATAGTAAAACATGTTTCTATAGCTGTAATAATGATTATCTAGTACCTATTAAGCAGTAATTATTTAGGGCTGTGTGATCCCGACCAGTTTTGAACTCACAACTTGGATTTACTTATACTGAGAACGAGATGAGAACCAGGTTACCTCTCACTGATGGACGCTGATGAGCAGATCCGGTTCTCCAGGAGGTTTTTCATGTGCCGGACCTGCCGAACAGCTTGTGTGTAACTCTGAGGCGTCTGAAATTTATGCGGCCCCAGTAATTCCAGCTCCATCTCTACATGCTGGAGTTGCATGTACAAGCAGCGGTTGTAATCAGTGTATTTCAGTTGCTCACACGTTCCTTTCTCTGGAGTTGGGCTTCTTGTTTTTTCTGCAGTTAAAGAATTATTTAATTTTTTTAGAAGCAAATCAGCATAGCTATCTCTAGATTAAAACATTGTTTGGTACAAAGGTCAGCAGAACTGGAACTCAAGCTTATGAATGTGACAAAATGAAGAGTAACATTTGAAGGGATGTGTAAAAGCAGCCTTAGCACTAGAGCTTTAGTGTTTTTCCACTGGAATGGGCTGGAATTGTTGCCAGGAGGCAACTTAGTAAAACAGAGGTCCTAAAACCTTAATAGAGAAGTCAGATAAGATCAAGTGCTAATTTGTTCATAGTTACCTGTGCAATTAGTAGCTTGGTACACTCATTGGAAAAGCCAAATACAAGTCTTAATGAAATCAATGGGACTGTTTACTCATATATTATTGTTTAATTGAAAATAAATGAATGCCTATGAGTCAGACTGAAAGGAACAACAGCACAAGGCCAAGAAGAAACAAACAGGACAAAAAAAATCTGTGAAACAACTGATATTTGTGAGTCTTTATGTTATTAGATACTGATCCTGCTCCCCAGCCAGGCTGGTAGCTAACATTTAATTCCACAGCATAAGAAATAGAGATTTCACAGTGTCTTTACTCAGTTGGGTGCTCAGCGGTGCACAGTGAAAGGACAAGAGGTAATGGGTACAAACTGAAACATGGGAAATTCTGTCTGGACATAGGGAAAAGCTTCTGTATTATGAGGGCAGCTGGACACTGGAACAGATTGCTCAGAGACTTTGTGGAGTCTCCATCCATGGAGATATTTGACATCCAACTGGACATGATCCTGGGCAACTATCTCCAGCAGACCCTGCTCTGAGCAGAGTGGTGAACTAGACAAACTCCAGAGATCTCTTCCAACCTCAACTATTCTGTGATTCTGTAATTGCCTTTGAGTCAAAATGTAAGAAGAGCTTGGGTCATCACATCCAGCATTACCATCGTTTTCACTACAAAGGTTTCAGTAGGCATGTCACGTTGTGGTGTTTACCTTGTATATCCATAGCACCTAATGTGACAATTATAGGGTCATCCTTCTTTTTGCTCTCATCATAAAACTCTTGCCCAGCTCTGTTCTGCTGGCAGATGATGTCCTCAACCAACGCCAAAAGCGTGTTGATGTTAGTTGATTTCCCAAGATCTGATACTGAAGTGAGAGATGGCGTCTTCAGGGCTTTAAAGAGTGAGCTGGCAATTCTTCTTATGTCCTAGAAAAGACAACAGCAACACAGCAGTGACTCTGGCTGCAGTGACTTAAGCTGATGTGATCTGAAGGCACCACTGGCTGGGAGCTGCACCAACTGCTACAATCTCCAGAATGGATAAGGATAGCACATCCTACAATGCTGGATGTGACAGGCAGATTTCAGTGAGTTCAGCAAAGCAGCTTTCAGGATTTAAAAATGCAGCTTACTTGCCCGAGGACCTAAACTGAGAAAGATGGGGTTTATGATACCTTTTACCTTCACAGTCTTGCTTAGCATCTATCTGCTTTAACCCCTGAACACGGTGATTTTGGTCACACATAATAGTTGTGGAAGAGCTGGGATGTACATTGGCAGATCTTGATGATTCCATGTAGATGGGGATTCCATGTAGATAGGTCATGGAGTGCTTTGCATAATTGGCGTTTTGCTTCAGACAAGCTGAAGGACACCTGACAGGGCAGATTTCTGCTGTTGAACTGGAGGTGTTGGGTGGTGCGTGGCAGCAGAGGGCAGCGCAGGACTCCTTAGGGAGCAGTCACGGGGACTTGCCTTTATCACAGCCTCTGGAGTGAGTGAGACGGACTGGGTGACCTGTGGAGTGGGAGGTAGGCTTGGGGACACTCGACCATTCTTTCCCGGCTTCTTCTCTCTGCCCTGCGTGGCTGGCCGGGATCGTGTGTTCCTGAAGATCTGCACAATGAGCAGGTTGATGGGGAACATGAGGAGAGAGCTCTCAAAGCCAATCATCACCTCCTGCCAGGTGAACTCGATCTTACCTGTCAATATCAAACAGAGGGGAGAAGTAAAAGTAACCCTAGGAACCATCGGATCTCTCTCCTGTGAAAAAGTCTATGTGTTCAACTGCTCTGCTTTTAGATTTCTGCCAGGTACTTCCCTGCCCAAGCAAAGGTAAGAATTGTTACCCAAATCCATTTTCTGCTCAGCTGGATCCTTTGGCACTCCCCAAAACATGATACTGGTCAGCATGGTGCAGAGAAGCAGTGAGAAGCAACATGACACACGCTGGGCTCGTGTGAAGGAGCTTCGTGGGGAGCGGTTGAAAACCGAGTACCAGATGTGCCCATCCTGGAAACCCTTGGAGGTCTTCATGAAAAACAGATTGCTGGGAAGGAGGGAAATCAAGTGGATACTTAGAAAGGAGAGGGAAGAATAAAGCTGTAGTTCAGGGTCATGACCTGTTTATGCTTCTAGGCACCGTCAGAAGAAATTACCAAATATCATAGTTTGATTTGCATGGAATGGTCATAGCTACT